TTGTCTTGTCACTGTCTACCCCTGTAAACAGTCGTAGACTGTTTATTCCAGAGCTTAGTCTGAAATAACACATGGCTGCCTGTCAGAGCCACAGAACGGCCTGGGTTGCAAAGCAGCACAAGGCTCATCAGTTCCAATCCCTGCTGTGTGCAGGTCACCAACCAGCAGCCCAGGCTGCCCAGAGAACCCATGGGGTGCCATAGGGATCTGTAGGGACCCATAATCCTAGCATCATCATAGAAGCCTCGAATGGCCTGGGTTGCAAATGCCCACATTGCCCATCAGTTCCAACCCCTGCTGTGTGCAGGGCAGCAGCCCAGGCTGCCCAGAGCCACATCCAGCCTGGCCTCGAATGCCTGCAGGCCTGGGGCATCCACAGCCTCATCAAACCCTGGGCAGCAGCTCCTTTCAGAGCAAAAAAAACCCAAACCCATGGGTTCCCAACGTTGGTACACAAGGGCTGTTTGGGGTTTCTTCTTTCTAGCGGTGCAGGAGGAGCGCGGCGCTCTGCTGGCTCACCCTGCTGCTGCTCAGTGCTGTTTGTTTGCTGCAGGCCCGCAGAGGGACGCGCAGGCAGCCCGCGAGTTCATCCTCAAGATGTTTGTGGATTTGAATCCAGACAGTGACAAAATCATCTACTCCCACTTCACCTGTGCCACGGACACGGAGAACATCCGCTTCGTCTTCGCGGCCGTGAAGGACACCATCCTACAGCTCAACCTGAAGGAATACAACCTGGTTTGACCCCTTGGCGGTGAAAAGACCCACAAGAAAGAAACAAAAAAAAAAGAGAGGAAAAAAAAAAAAAGAAAAGAAAAGAAAAGAAAAGAGTGATTTTAAACGTGACAGGAAAGAAAAAAAAAAAAACAAAAAAAAAAAAACAACCAACCAACACAACGTTTTAATTTTGGATGCTGTCATGGTTGCCAATTTGTCTGAGCTGTGCAGTGCTGGCTGTGAGCTGCAGCCTCCTGTCTCTGCCCGCAGAGCAGCCCGTTGATTTCTGTTCGCAGTCGATGGGGATACGCCTCATTCCTTCAGCACCTTGCTCACTTCTTAATCGTTGCCAAGCAGCTGCGGCCGCCTCATCTCGAGCTTTTTTGGTTCGGTCTGGTTTGTTGTTTTTTTTTTTTGTTGTTGCTTAGCCACTATTTTTATTTCTAATTATTTCCCCTTTTCGTTCCCATGCTGTCTGTAGAAAAAGTCACTTCCCAGCCCAGGTCGTGAAGTCGCTGGGCTGTGGGGCTGTGGAACGCAGAGCTGCTGCTCCCTTTGCCTTGTGCTGCAGGGCGCCCTGGCTGTGAGCTGCTCATCCTGCTTGCTTCCCCTCCCCTTCCCCAGGTCGCGCTCCATGCTTCACTGTGAGGAAACACTGGGGAACGACAGCTGCTCTCCCACTGTTGTGCAAAACAAGAAACCCCACCATCCCAAACCACACGCAAAAAAAGGCAAAACGTACCCAAAAAAAGAGGCAAGCCGTCGCTTTTCCATCCTTTCCATCTCCTGAGTTACTGTCTTCTTTTTTATCTCTTATCAGCCATAAAAGTTACGGAGACTGCAATCTTACTTTTAAGTTCTCGATGCTCTGCACCTCGCTGGCAGCGCAGAGCTGCGTTTTGCTCATGGGCCTCAAAGGCTGGGAGCTCCTGGAGCGGCAGCTGCTGAGCCTGGGGAAGTGCCTGACTGTCGCTGCTCATTTTTTCCCCCCCTTTCTCTTATTTTTTAATTATCTGTGTAATTATTGCACGCACACGCGCCGCCCCCTCTCACACCGCAGCAGCTCTGCCTTCGGTTGAGCAGAGCCCCCACCACCCGTGGGGCAGAGCCGTGGGGCTCAGGCTGCGGCGCTGCGCTGCTCACTGCCGGCCTCTCGTTCTTTAGCTGCCAGCAAACAAGCTTTGCTCACTGCATTTCGGCGCTGCAGGTGGTTTCTAGGAGTCCTGGTTTTTAGGAAGGAGCAGAGCTGGCGCTTGCAGCCTTTGCAATGTGGGATTCTTAGCAGCAGGCCCTGGAGGAGCCGTGTGCTCCCTGCTCTTGGTGCGTTCCCCAGGCGTCTGCCGCTTTGTTTGCCGTTCAGAGCAGGGCTGGATCCTCCCTGCAGGCTCCCGGGGGATCGCGGTGCTGAGGGCTGGTGGCCGTGGGGTCAGGAGGTGGCACGGAGGTGCTGCGTTCCAGGGGCCAAAGCTGTGCTCAGCACGAGGCGACGCTTTGGGGCCGGGTCCCAGGTGCTGAGATTGGAGGCCTGGAGGACAACCAGGGTTAGCAGGGAAGGGGGGGGACCCGACCCAGCTCTGCCTCTGCATCTTGTAGCCGTCGCAAAAGCTTCTGCTCCGATCCCAACAGGCAGCATTGGGTCCAAACCCACTGAACGCCTCCCGGGAGGTCGGTGCCACCCAGGGGCCGGGGGTCTTTTGTCTCCCTTGCAGACAGCGGGGTGCTTTGCTTTCCAACACTACAGCCCAGGGGCCGCTGTTTGGAGGGGTTCTGCTTTGCAGCCCCTCGTGTCGGCTGAGGGATCCCCGCCTGTCAGCCAGCCGCGCGCTGATCTCATTGCTTTGGTTTCTGTAGGTTGTTTGGGTTTTGTTTTTGTTTTTTTTTTCTTAAATCTTTACACCAAAAAAGGGCCGTTTGGTGGCGACCCCCCCCCAGACAGGTGCTCATCGTCGCCTCCGCGCGCAGCCAGGCGCTGTCTGTCCCCAGCGCAGCACCGGGCTCCCATTCCCCCCCCCGAGGGTTCACACTACAACAGGAAACGCTCCTGGAGCCCTGCAGCTCCATTTCCAGGAGGGAAACTTGAAGTCAATGAGTTGAGGACCACCCCAAACCCCCCCCCCCCCCCCCCCAGAGCCGGGTTCTTTGCTCTCTTATCGCTTCCTACCAACGTCAGCATTGCCTTCGAGTATGGTTCAGTTCGGTTTTTATTTTTATTTTTATTTTTTTTTTCCCCTTCCTGTGTTTTAATTTTTTTTTTTTTTAATAATAATAAATATTATATATATATATATATATATATCAGAAATAATGAAAAGATATCCCGACAGCAGCGACGACGATGACGAAAAGCAGCCGACCCTGCGGGCGGTGCTGGGTGCTGCTCTGCATGGAGCCCAGCAGAGGTTGGGAGGCAACACAGCGCCCCTTTCTTACCAGTATGGTTTGTGCCAATGCCCCCCTTTTCTTTAGTAGTGCCAGAGACTTCTTTACAAAGTGCCAACGTGGTGGAAATGATTTGGTTCTACTCGTATCTTATAGGATCCTTGATTTAAGGCGATCGAAGCATTTATCCTATGGGGGGGGACAAAAAAAAGAAAAAAAAGAAAAAAAAAAAAAAGGAAAAAAAAAAAAAAAAAGGAAAAATAAAACAAAAAAAGGAAAAAAAAACAAAAAACAAAAAGGAAAAGAAAAAAAAAAATCACACACACACACAAAAAAAACCCTCCTCTATCGACCGCTGTTTTTAAACCTTGTCATTTGCAATGCATGTGTTGTTGTCGTGTTGGGGTGGGGGGAGGAGGGTCGGGTCGAGGAGCTCCTGAATGCGACGCCGCCGTCAGGTTCTGTTCAGGCTCCGCGCTGTGTCTCATTCCAGGCCAGGGGTGCGATTGTTCCTCGGGAAGATCCAACCCTGACCGCTGGGCACCAACCCTTCACTACGGGAATATCTGATGGCAATGGATTTTCATATCTTTCTCCTGAAAAAAATAAATTCTCTGTTTGAAATTGGAATAAATTTTGTTCCTAAAAGCCGTGGTGCTCGCGAGCGTCTTCCTTCAGCTGCGTCCCTGGGAGGCGTGCGGGGCTGAGGGGCTCGGAACGCGTTGGAGAGGAACCCCAGTGATGGCACAGAGCACAGGGAGGAACCTGGGGGTCCTGAGGGGTGAAAGACTGAACGTGAGGCAGCAGGGTGTGATTGCAGCTTGGAAAGCAAACGGGATCCTGGGCTCCGTCAGCAGAGGGGTGGCAGCAGGGACAGGGAGGCGATCGTCCCCCTCTGCTCTGCTCTTGTGAGGCCCCATCTGCAGCACTGTGCACAGGGTTGGAGCCCCAGCACAAGAAAGACAGGGAGCTGTTGGAGAGGGTCTGGAGGAGCCACAGTGATGAGCAGGGGCTGCAGCACCTCCCTACAGAGACAGGCTGAGGGAGCTGGGCTGGTTCAGCATGGAGAAAAGAAGGCTGGGGGTGACCTCAGTGCAGCCTGCAGTGCCTCAAGGGAGCCTGCAAACAGGAGGGGAATCAACTCTGTGCAAGGGGAGATGGCAGCAGGACGAGGGGAAATGGTTTGAATTGAGGGAGGGCAGATGGAGGTTGGATGTCAGGGGAAGTTCTGTGCTGTGAGAGCGGTGAGGGGCTGAACAGCTGCCAGAGAGGCTGTGATGCCCCGTCCATCCCTGGAGGTGTTCAAGGCCGGGTTGGATGGGGCCCTGGGCAGCCTGGGCTGCTGTGAAATGGGGAGGTTGGTGGCCCTGCAGGGGGTTGGAGATTCACGACCCTTGGGATCCCTTCCAGCCCCGGCTGTTTTGTGTTTCTGTGAGCACCCGAAGAGGGCACTGTGTGCATGGGGAACCCACAGCACTGCTCTGCATCACTGCTCTGTGTGCCTCTCCTCCTCCCCAGGATGTTCTGAGCTGGGTTTGGGAGGGCTGGAAGGGACCCCCGAAGGCCATCTGGTTGCCCTCCCTGCTGCAGATGGGACACCCACCGCCCCACCGGGGCTCAGGGCCCCTTTAACTCACCCTGAGTGTCTCAGAGGGAATTGCAGTGCATGCACACTGCGTGCTTTGCAGCTCTGCATGAATGAGCCCCTGCAGCGGGGAGGGCCATCCTGAGCACCTCTGCTGCAGTGCAGGGCGAGGAGAGGACAAGGCACAGGGTGCAGCCTGGGGGGAACCCCCCCCATCCCCGAGCTGCTCAGGGCTGGAGCCAAAGGCTGCCACAGATCCACGTCACAGCAGGGAAAAGAACTTGAAAGCAGATGCTCTTTATTGGTTTTACGTCTTTACTACAACAGAGCTGCAGCAGGAGGGGGAAACGAGGCAGGGAAAGGATGGAGGGTGTCACAAATGGGTGGTGAATGAAAGCAGCCGGGTGTCACACAGCGGGGAGGAGGAGACGCTCGCTGGGTCCTGAGAGCTGCAGCCCCTCCTTTGGGTGTGCAGCCCAAAACGGGGCTCTACACCAGAAGGGGGATCCCAGGGGGGCTTCCCTGGGGAGGACGGAAGCGGCAGCAGGAGAGCATTGGGCACCGCGTGGGTGAGAGCAATCGCTGCGACCTCAGGACTTCATGACGTGGTTGATCCAGGGCAGGTAGGGGCTGATGTCTGTGTAGAAGGACATGGGCTGCCGGTAGGGGTAGGAGTAGATCCCGTAGGCTCTGTTGTTGCACACGAGGGGACACCCAGTATAGCTCTGTAAGAAGGGGAGGAGGGTGGAACAGCAAAGAACTGATACGGGAACGGAGCTTTCAAAGGGCAGAACCCAGTTTGGGAGCAGCACAGCCACTGCTGCGACTCAGAGCATCTCTCCGTGCCCCGCAGAACGCAAGGAGAGCAGCCCCCCCCCGGGGTCCCGTCGCACCAACCTTGTCAGGAACCCCGTTGCTGCTGCTCTTGGCACACAGGACGTGGTCGGCGAGGCCGAGGTAGATGGGGAGGCAGTCCCGCTGTTTGCTGACGGTGACGTTGGCCTCACAGAGGGCAGTGTTGGAGGCTCCGTGCCCCCACCCGGCGACGCTGCACATCAGCCCTCCAGGAAACCTCGTGTTTGGGAAGGAGATGGGCCTCACGCGGTCGTTCACGATGGCTTTGCTTTTCAGCTGGGTGGCAGAAAACACAGAAATGGGTGTTTTGCCTTTGGATGCAGCGTGACCAGGGCTGTTCCCGTCCCACAACCCCCAGCTCCACCACCGCAGCCCATGGCACCTCCAGCAGGAGGATGTCGTGCCCCTCCTCGCGCCTCCTGTACTTGGGGTGGCAGTGGTACTTCTGCACCTGCAGCTCCTGCCAGCTTTCCTCTTCCCTCTGGATGTCGCGGGCTCCGAGGATGACGGTCAGAGGTCTGTGGCTGTGAGATGGAGCACAGGGGTGTCATCAGCTGTGCGATTAGAAGGGATGGCCTGGGGACGCGGATTGGGTTTGGCGGAAGCTGATAGGAGTGTGGATCGTTACTGCAGAGCCTGCCCAGAGCGGATCGCTGGGCTCAGTGTGGGTTATCTGCCTCCGGAGCTTCGGCTGAGCTCATTGGGCCCAGCTGCAGCAGGGGCTGCCCTGGGGGAGCAGGGAACGCCGTGGGGTCGGGGCAGCCCCTTTCCATCGAGCTGTGGGATGCGGGCGCTTTGGTTCTGCTGGTTTTGCCCTCCAGACGGGACCGGAGCTCCAGCCCGCCCCCATCTCCTGCAGCTCAGCCCATACTGCCCCACAACCTCACCCACGGCCTCGTGCCGGCCCCACAACCCCTCTCCCTGCCCGTTCGGCCACGCAGAGCCCTCCCACCCCTACCTGGGAGTCATGGCCTGGGTTGGGTGTCCCAGAACTCACCTGAAGCACTGCGCGGCCGTCATCACCCACCCGGGGGCCACCAGGAAGCCCCCGCAGAACCCACCATCCCTGCCCCGCAGATAAGCCATGTATGGCCTGGATTGAGCCACAGCCCGGCCGTCCTGGTCCAACCGGCTCCAGGAGCGACCTGCAAGGATGAAGGGGTGGATGGGGACGTGGGGATGGGATGGGGATGTGGGGCTCGGACCCCTCAGCCCACCCCACAGCCTCTCTACTCACCAGCCGTGTCCAGAGGCCCCGCCAGCAGCAGGATGGTCAGCAGGAGTCTCTGTGGGTGCTGCATGGCCTCGAGGATGCCCCAGGGGTGAGGCTGTGAGTGGGGTCTCTTCCTGCTCTCAGGAAGGATTTATACCCTGAGACGAGACTCCAGGAAACCACCGAGGTCACACTTCATCTGATTAATCTCATTGCGAAGCGCAAACCTCAGCAATCTGAGGAGGGGAATTCAGGCAGCTTTCGGCAACGGTCCCCCTCCATTTGGGGTGGATTTGGGGTACCTGGAGCCCTCCTGGACCCGGAGGCAGCTTTCTCCCACCGCCTCTGAGCTGGAGGCTGCATGGAGTTTGCCCACCCCGCCACACTGCCCTCCTTTGCAACTCGTGTTGTTGTTGTTTTTGCAACTCTTTGCATCTCTTGATGTTATCACGAGCCTTGCAAAATGAAGATTTCTTCTACATGATGTACCACCTCCAAGAAGGCCAGGAGGGCCTTCCTACTTCTTCTTGGTAGATGCTGTCGGAGCCCGAGGAGCTGCCCCCAAAACACCACATAGGTTATGGCTGGCTGGGGGCAGGGAGCTGCACAGCAACACCACAGCTGGCGCCATGAGGTCCCTGCTCTGCTGTGCGTGGAAAAAGACTCCCTTCTATGTATTCTTTCCAGCTTGGGTGCTCAAACACGGGTCAGGCTTCCTAGCAAGGCCCTCAGTGCCTCGTGGCTGTTGGACGATGCCCACAATAGAATACTTGAAGTTCTGGTTAGCCCTCAAGTGATCAGCAAGTTGGATTTGGTGACCCTTGTACTTCCCTTCCACCTGAATTATTCTGTTCTCCTCTGCTGGGCTCTACTGAACTCAGCTCCACTCAGTTCTGCACTCCTAGGCTTGCCTCTACAGCTCGACAACAGCGGACTTGACTCTACTTGACTGGACTCTACTGGTCTGGACTCCACTGGACTTGACTCCAGATGCGGTTGTTCCCCATTAAACAACGCCTCACTGCCCCTCCACCAACTGGCCTGTGAGCACTCAGAAGGATGCTGCCCAGAGCAGGGCTGCCTTTGGCCCTGCTTTGTGGGGAGGAGGGATGCGGGTTTGGGATGCTGCCCATCCGCTGGCCCTCAGGAGGGGTCATGCCCCAAACTGGCAGTTCCTTCCTTCGGCGATGACGAAATGGGTCTGATGCTGGCTGCTGGGAAATGTGCCTTCCCTCCTGCCCCCAGTGCCCTTCCTGAGAAAAAAGCTGCCATTCTCGTGCAAAGATTGCTGCAGACAGAGCATCGAGGAAAAACCTGACGTGACAAAGGAAAAACCTGACGTGACAAAGTGACAGAGATTTGTTTCATACACTACAGATAAGCAGTTGCAGCAGTTGCAGCCTTTCCACTCGCAGATGCACTGCTTGATAGGAGCTGTTAGCAGAAGCCCAGAGCATGGATCCTTCTTGGTTCCTCCACGGCGCCTTGGTGGCATCACCTCCTCCAGGCGAGGGCAGGGCGAGCGTGGGCACACACAGCCAGGGCTGGACCACAGCGCATTCCAGCCATCCCCTCCCTTGGGCAGATATGGCTGGGTGGAAGCCCAGGAAAGGCTCTGAGGACGGGGCAAGCATCCTGTTCCCTCAAATTGCTCACAGTTTCTGTATGTTCAAGATTTCACGCTGGATTTCCCCTCCACAAACCCTCTCATTCTCTCCTGGAACTTGCACAAACGTCCCGCAGCAAGGAGCGCTGCTCTGCCCCGTCGCCTCTCCTGTCTGTAGTCCCCAGCCCTTGCCCTTGGGAGTTCTCTGAGCTCCCATCCGTGTCCCTACGCAGGACATCGCAGACAGATGGACACTGGAGGGCTGCTGGCATTCTGAAGGCGGTGGATGGGATATGTGCGGCGCTTCCCCTTTCCATCCAGGTCACAGAATCATCAAGGTTGGAGAAGACATCCGAGACCATCCAGTCCGCCCATCAACCCCCCCGCACCATTCCCACTCATAGACTCGTGGAGTCACTAAGGCTGGAAGACAACTCTCAGATCCCCAGAGCAGCCCCAGCCCACCTCCACTGTGCCCACTGCCCATGTCCTAAGTGCCACCTCTCCATGGTTCTTGGACACCTCCAGAGATGGTGACCCCACCGCCCCCCTGGGCAGCCCGTGCCACCGTATCTCCGTTTTTTGGTGAATAAACTGTTCCTCATATCCAACCTGCACCTGCCCTGGAACAACACGGGGCCATCGCCCCTCGTCCTATTGCTGTTACCTGGGAAAAGGGGCTGCTCCTTCTCTGGACTTCAATGTCTTTGTCACTGCCATCCCACCACGGAGAGGAGAAGCATGGCTGACCCAACCCTCCCTTCTTGCCGGGATGAAGGATAAGAAAGAAAAAGGCAGAAATGCTGGGGAACACAGCTCAGAATTTACTGGGGGTGTTTCAGGATCGAGCAGAGCAGGGGCGTCCAAGGGAAAGGGGCTGTGCAGTAGAGCCACTGCATTCCTGTGCCCTATGAGAATTCTGCTGGTGACAACGTGGCACTGAAATGGGCCGGCAGCGGGACAGCCATCAGCCTCGGAGCAAAGGGAGGGAGCCTATGGGCATCCATTGGGACACTTGGGTTCCCAGGGCAGAGGGGGGAATGGAGCCGCCGGTGGGGGCAGGAAGGAACCCGGCAGGTCTCCAGGGCTGACACTGCACCGTTACTTCGTCATGATTTTCTTGATCCAGCGTAGGTAGTTGGCAATGCGAGCGTAGACACCGGGCGGGCTGTCGTAGCCGAAGGAAACAACACCCTGTGCGACTTTATTGCACACCAGCGGCCCTCCGGAATCACCCTGCAGGCAGATGGGATCCGTGGTGGGAGCCTCGTCCTGAGAGGTGGGCTCACCTCCACCCACCAGGAGCGGCTTTGCCATTCAAAGGATCGCCTCTTCCCAGCAGGAGCGGCATCGCCTCCATCCTTTTCCCCAGGGCCAGAGCTGCTCCTGCTGGCCGTGCTGCACGGGCCGCCATCTCTCCTGGAAGCCCCCTCGAAGCCCCCCCCCCCTATGGCCATACCTGGCTGGAGTCCTTCAGCTCGTGGAAGCTGCCAGCACACAGCATGCCGTCGTCGAGGTGTGGGTAGAACAGAACGCATTTCCTGCGGCTGTAGATGGAGACTTTGGTTTCAAAGAGCTTGCCTGTTATCTGGTCCTCATCAATCAGGCCCCATCCTGCTATGGTGCACGAGGTGCCCGTCGGGAGGTAGCTGCTGGTTTTGGGCAGCGCAATCGTGCGGACGTATTTGTTGAGCTTGGCCTTTGCTGTCAGCTGCGAGAGGGGAGGGCTGTGAGCGGAGCGGGAGGAGGAAAGAGGGGAGGGCTGGTGGGACGCACAGCTCTGCCAACACGGCCCTGCCTGGGGGTCCCACCCCACACAAGTGCTGGTTGGCACAGGGAGCTCTGGGTGCGATGCTCTGTTCGGCTCCGCCGCCCCCAGCCCTTCCCTGCCCCCCGGGCTGCCTTGCCTTGAGCAGCATGATGTCGTTGGTCAGGGTGTCGGGTCGTACGCGGGGTGTGGGTGGTATCTGAGGACCCCTCGGACCTCGGCTCTGCTCTGGCTGGAAGATCTCGTGAGCCCCCAGGACGACGGTGATGTTCCTGACCGTGGCATAAAGGGGAGAGGAGAACCAGTCGGGTCTCACCGCCACCTCCCCACCCCTTCTGCAAAAAGGTGGGGAGAGCTGCTCCAAAACAACCCCAGTGATGGGGAGGAAGAGGAGGATGAAGCCGCTGTGCAGTACTCACCCCGACAAGCAGTGCGCGGCCGTCATCACCCAGTCGGAGGCCACCAGGAACCCCCCGCAGGCAGAACGCCCCACCTTCAGGTACCCCATGTAGGGGTGGGAGTGGGGCTCGGCCTCGTGTTCCCCAATGATCTGACCCCGCAGAGCACCTGCAAGACACAGCGGGGTGATCCACGGGATGGAGCACAGAGCAGCAGCCCCGTGCAGCTCTCCTCTTACTGCTGTCAGCCCGCGGGCAGGAGAGCAGCAGCGGCAGGGCCAGCCACAGCGAGCAACGGGGACGACACATCTCCTCTCCTCATTGGGTGCTCAGAGCTCTGAACCACCCTCCTGCTGACCAAGGGCTGTTTTTATAGTTTGGAGCATCTCTACCCTACAGCCAGGAAGCCATGTGCGATGGGCTGATTGCTTTAACTGGGGCCGTGCATCCTGCCTGGCTATCTGCATCTCTGCTGCTCGCGTGCTCAGGGGCTGCAATCAACGGAACAGCAGCGCAGCAGCGCCTCGGGTCAGCAAATCTCTGTGCAGAGGGCACGGACCCCGCGCACAGCACACCTGTGTTCTCCCAGTCCTGTTTGTGGGTGGTTTCCTCCTGCAGCTGAGCCTGCAGTTTGCCTGTGGAGCTGCAGCCTCAGAGCTGCGCCACCCAGCCCTGCGCTGTGAGCGGCTCTCCTTCCTCACTGCTCTTCCCAGCCGTTCATTTTCCCCTCCTGCCAGGCTGTCCCACTTCGCTGCGCTGCTTTTTGCTCCCTGGGGCTTCCATCTGCCAGAGCTTAGGGAGCTGCACTCCATGCAGCTTTGAGGAGTGCTTTGAGGGGTGGGCAGGGGAGCTCCAGGGGTCCCTTTGGTTCTGTGATTGGTTCTGAGAAGCGTCCGCTCTGCTGCGGAGAGATTTCACAGGGCTCATCACTGCAGCCATCTCAGGGCCCTCTGCAGGAAGGGGACGAGGGGGGGTCAGCTGCTGGGGGAGGTCTCTGCCAGCACAGAGATAAGGAGCGGGCAGCGGCCGCTGGGGACATCCTGCCATGCACTCCTGGGCTTAAGGAGCCCTTTGCTCCTTCCCATCCTCGGATGCTTGGGCTCTCAGGCGGCTTTGCCCACCTCACAGCAGTGGTGGCTGAGCTCAGGGCAGTTTCTTTGAGCTTCTCTGGGTTTGTAACTGCAGCTGCTAAGAGAGGAAAAAGCCAACAGGTGGTGATGATGGGGCAACCAGCATTGAGCAGCTTTAACAGCCCCTCCATGCCACGGAGACATCACCCCTCGTCCTGCTATGGGATGCTCAAGTTCCTGGTCCTTCTACGCAGCGTTGAATTCCCAGTCCTGCTATGGATGTTTGCCCACAGACCCCTCTGTGCCTGTGCCCAGGCTGCTTTCTGCCCCAGACCCGCAGGGCCTTGCCCACCAGCCCCATTGCTGCCCCATGAGGGTTCTGCCAGGTGTGCGTGCCCCACATGGAACCTCTGAGCCTGAGCTCCCTGAGTGTGAAAGAAAACCAGAGCGTGGATGAGGCTCCAACCCGACCCCGAGGAGGATTTCTGGGAGGGGAGGCACTTCACACCGCTGTTTGTTTTCCATTTCTGCAGACAATGTTGGATGTTTTTTTCTACAGACAAAACTGAACCAAACTTCTGAAGAAAAAAAGAAAGAAAAAAAAAAAGCTGGGTGGATCTTTTCTTTCTTTTCCCTTCCCTCTTTGCTTTTTAAAGCCATTAATGTGGTCAGAAGGAGACAACAGCGAAACTTTCTCTTTCGTGTTCTTGTTTTTCCTGCAGAGGTTCAGTGAATTCTTTTTTTACGGGGACCCAACTGCATCCCTGATGACCCTCTGAGTGCTGCAGACGTGCCGGTTCCTGGGCTCAGTGCATGGGGAGGTTTTTAGGGCTTTCTGCTCCACCAGAAGGACCCCCGCCTGCTGCAAGACAGCAGCACAAACCCACGGTTCAACCGCCAGCAGCAATCAAGTCATCTCTAAACCAGCACCACTCCACCCTTCCTGGGGCAGCAAAACACCTGCAGGGACGGATGGGTGGAGGTGGCACAGCGGTGGGGCTGGCAGTGCCCACCTGCCCGCCAGAGCCTGCCCCACAGATTGCTTTGTTGGGCTGTGACTGGGGGCTGGATGGGACAGGGGCAGCGGTCTGGGGGGTCTGGGGTTTGTCCCCAGGGTCTGGGTGATGGAGGGGGCAGCTGTGGGGCAGCTTTGAGCAAACTTTAGTCTTCATCTGCAGGAAAGAGATGAGAGATGCTGCAGGACGGGGTGTCCTTCTCCACCCCCCTGAATTTCAGAGAACGTCTGAACTGAAATAGCAGAGAGAGGCATCAAGATAAAGCTGGTGTCTGTGCAGATCGCGATGGGGAGATGGGGCAGAGAACAGGAACTCGGCCTGGAGGAGGGGGGCTGAGTGCCGTGTAGGGAGGACACCAAAGGGCTGTGTTAGTGCTGAGCAGTGGGGACCCACTGGGGTGACCTCAGTGTCCCTGGTCTCATCGGGCTGCGGGGGCAAAGAGCTCAGTGCCATCAGGTGCCTCCTTCCCACAGCTGCTCGGATGCCATTCGCTATTTGAGGAGCTGCTCCAGGCCCTCGCAGGGCGCATCCCTTCAGCCCTTGACCTTCATCTCCGCCTGCTCCATCCTCTGCCTCCCACAGCTGTTTGGCTCAGGCAAAGCCGAGCACTCGGCGGGGTTTGCGGGGCTCCCGCCGCCCCTTTGGGACTGAACTCTTTGCACCAAGGGCTGAGCGCACCACGCTCTGCCTTCCCCCTGCTTAGGGCTCATTCTTCCTGCTGATTTCCACTCCTTGAATCTCAGGGCCACCCGCTGACCTTATCAGCACGAGCTCCGCTAACGGTGAAGCCAAACTGACACCAGCAGCTGAAAGGACCAACGTGGAGCCCGGAGCTCCGCTTCCCACCAGAACCGCTTCTGTTGCGCCCCATTCCCTGCAGGAGGAAACATCCTTGGCATTTTCCATGCGCCCGCGCCGCGGTCCAGGAGAAATCCTCAGATCCCACAGCGGTGTGAGACGGCCCAGCTCTGCCCTAGGGACTTCTCCATGACTCCGGGTCAGCCTGCACTGAGAAAGGGGTTCAGCTGTGATCCTGATGCTCTTTCTTTGCAATGTTTGGGTGGGTCCATCCTGCAGAGATGTAATTGGTGATGTTGTAACTTCCCTTTTTTCTTTTTTTTTTTCTTCACGTTGGTAGGTAGCAGCCTCACTGCTTTCACCCTCCTCATTACCCACTGCACCGGGCCTCCGACGAGCAGCTGGGGAGCAGCGCTGGCTGCCGTGCCTCATCCTGGCAGCACGAGCCATGCCAGGTGAGTCCAAAACTCAACAACTGGGGCTGGGAACGGCGTGGTGCAAGAATGCCCCTTCAGGTGGGTTTTGCAGACGTAGGGAATAGATGAGTGACAGACAGCCCTGCGGTCAGGTTGGGGCTCTTGGCTCCAGGTCCCAGCACAGCCCCTTCAGCTGTGCGCCTCAGAATCCTGCACATGATGGAGGCAGTGGGAAGATGCTGACCTGCCTGCAGCAGGTGTCCGGGTGCAGGGTGCACACAGAGGGCTTGGAGCGTCTGGATCCCTGCAGCGGGGTGCAGCAGAGCCCTGGCTGCAGAGCAGCGGGCGCCTGGATTGGTGCACGGGGGGCTGCGTGTGGAGTTCTGTGGCTGGAGGTCCTCAGGAGGGGGAGAGCACAGAATTCCTCCTGGAGAAGGGTGGATCTGGGCACAGGTGTGCATGGGGCAGTGGGTGGAGGGGAGCTGCTCTGAGGGGTGAATGAATGCCACAGAAGCCCAGCAGTCGCTGGGGCACTCATGCCAGCACTCAAACCAACAGATCCCACCCCACGATTTCTCCTTATTGAGAAATGACGACAGCTGCCAGAAACCATGCCAGTCTTCTAGCTCACAACAGGAAACTTAATAAACAGGAAGACCCTGCTCGAGCGTGGCCTTACAAAACACCTCACCCGCCTCTCCCCTTGTTTTTGCAGCACTCTGGGGCTGGCAGATGGGGCTCTGACCCCCGTCTCTGCCCTGGACTCAGCACTGCCTCCAGCCCTCAGAGGCTCGGCTCTGCTCCAAACCTCACCTGAGCCCTCGGTGATCAGAATTCGGACGGCCCAGAATTTGGAGGGCTGAGCTGGATGCTGAATCGTTCCTTCTCCCTTTCTGCTCAATATCCCGAGCTCAGAATGGACCTCCTTGACAGGAAGGGCTCCTGCTTGCAGCTGGCCGCCATGCGGAACGTGAACATCATCCTGCAGCACTACAACTTCTCCGGCAAGCTGACCAACCGGCCTTCCCAGGATGAGGGCATGGGCCTCATCCGCACCATCTTCGTCATCGTCAGCTGTGCCATCATCCTGGAGAACCTGCTGGTGCTGCTGGCTGTGTTGCGCTGCCTGCGGGCACGCCGCTGGGTCTACTCCTGCATCGCCAGCATCACCGTCAGCGACCTGCTGGCCGGCATCGCCTACCTCTCCAACCTCTGCCTCTCAGGCAAGAAGACCTTCCAGCTGTCCCCTCAGCTCTGGTTCCTGCGGGAGGGCATCCTCTTCATCGCTCTGGCTGCCTCCACCTTCAGCTTGCTGGTGACGGCCATCGAGAGGTACAGCGCCATGGTGCGGCCGATCGCTGAGAACGAGGCCAGCAAGACGCTGCGCCTGCGCGGCCTCATCGTGTTCTGCTGGCTGCTGGCCTTCGTCATCGGGCTGCTCCCGCTGCTGGGATGGAACTGCCTCTGTGATTTCAGCACCTGCTCCACTCTCCTGCCCCTCTACTCCAAGAACTACATCCTCTTCTCTGTGGTCATGTTCAGCATCATCCTGCTGGGCATTATCGGCCTCTACATCTCCATCTTCCAGCTGGTCCAGGCCAGCTCGAGGCAAACCACCTCTCGGCACAGCCGCAAGCGCTCGCTCCGTCTGCTCAAGACGGTGCTGATGATCCTGGGCACCTTCATCATCTGCTGGAGCCCCCTCTTCGCCCTGATGCTGTTCGATGTGTTCTGTGAGACGCACAGCTGCATGCAGCTGCACAGCCTGGACTGGACCTTGGCTATGGCCATGCTCAACTCGGGCATAAACCCCATCATTTACTCACTGCGGAGCGTGGAGGTGCGCCGCGCTGTGTGCAGCCTGCTGTGCTGCTGCTGCATAAGGATCGGGCTCTGCAAGCCTGGGAACTGCCCGGTCATCACCGACATCAACTCGGGTTCATCCACTGAGAGCTCCCTGCGCTACCGGGAGAGCTTCCGCAGCCCCATAGCCCCGATGCCACGGCCCAGAGCACCTCTCTCCAGCAACTCCAGCATGATGAGCAATCTGCCCAGTCTCTGAGAGGCCAAAAGTGGCCCAGAGATCCCACTGGGACCTCAGAGTGCTGGGTGCAGCTGTCAGAACTGTGTCAGATGCTGTCCCACCCCCGCTGCTGACTGTGGCCAGGCTTTGAGCAGGAGATGGCATAGAAACGTGCTCCTGGAGGGCAGTGAGGGATACAGGCACAGGCTGGGACAGACGCTCTGCTCGATGGATGCTGTGCTGGGGTAGGACTGGGTGCTGCTCCATGTCTGCACATATACAGCCACTGTACCTGCTCTGGCGAGGGCATTTAGCCCCATGGTGCCCCATGGCACAGAGATGGCACTCCCCACTTGGACTTGTACGGGATATCAGCAGCAGAGAACTGAGGGTTGCAGGAAATTGGACCACCGCAGCCACGTCTGCACCCACTGCTGCCCAAGGCTCGGCGCCGCAGCCCCGGCCTGCGGGACAAAGCAGCAGGAGGGCTGCCGAGGTGCTGCAAGACCCCGGGCAGGAGCGGGGCGCTGAGATACACAGACACGGGAAAGGCGGCTCCAGGGGCGGGCAGAGCGCTGTGCTGTGTGAGCTGCGCAGGGCAATGCTCCTGGGAAGGGGCGTTCTGCAGAGCGGTGTTATGAAGGAGAACAGCATCCAATCACCCTCCATCGCCGTGCGGGAAGCCAAGGCCAGCCAGGCCCTGCGGAGAAGCTTAAAACCTTACAATAAAATCATCGGGCAGGAAGCCCGCCTTTGGTGCGCTTTTATTCCGTCTCGGGCGCGAGGCAGCTCGGATCCCGCAGGAGGAGGTGCAGTGCCGCCCCCTGCGGCAGCCGCTAGGGCACGGAGCCGGAGATGGGCCCGCACGGTGCCCGCGATCCCCGCAGGGCCAGAGGGACCCGGTGCCTGCTCCCCTACCGGAAGTGCCCGCTCCCAGTAGTCGCTCCACTACCGGAA